CTTCGGAATCTCCCCGGAGATTCCTTTCCAATCGGAAATGATGAGGATCGTGAGCCTATCGAGTTTACAAATCTCAGGCGAAATCGAGCCGGTCATGTACCCGGTTCGGCCGGCCTTCTGGAAGATTGGATCCTCAGACTCGCCGCGGAGGCTAATTTCAGTGACCTCGAGAGTTTCAGGATCACAGCTGACTCCATACCAGCCACCGCAGCAAGAATTTCCAGTCCACGAATTGAAGATTCCTAAATACGGCTCGTTCAGCGCCGCCTTGAATGCGAGCAGGGCCGCCTGGCCCGAAGGCGAGCAAGCTTCGACGGCGGCGAAGAGGAAGAAGACAACAAGTAACATTCTCATATATGTTTTCTCTCTGTATGAAGGCAATGTTGAGGTTTTTTCTTCTGTATGTATAAGAGAAGTGATTGTAGATCTGCCATGGCAGCCATTGTATTGTAGAAGGAGGAGCGAGAAGGGGAAAGTGGGACGGTGGCAGTTTGGTTTGAATTCAGGTGGTTCTCTGACCAAAATAGCCCTGGTGAAAGATGATAATTACAATGTACTAGTTAGAGTTAGTTGTAGCATTTCATTACTCAGATTTACAAAATCAATTAAAATATATATTTTAAAATTTCCTTTTTAAATATTTAAAAAAGAGAATAAATAATTAAAAAAATAACTTATTTAAAATTAATAATAAACATAGAAAAGCTCATGAGCTTAGGTAATAAAATTTTGAATGCACTTAACACAAACAAGTTCATAACTCAACCTAATTCATACGTGCGGCATTGGGTCGATCTAATTTGTCATATACAAATTAATAATTAAAAAGTAAGTGGTAACTATCTAATTATTTTATTTTTAATTTTTATAACAAATATAGTCACGAGTGATAATAAGTAACAATTAGATCGGCGTACTTTAAAATTTATAAAAATTTAGTTCTTATTATAAAAAAGATTATTAATATTTAATAAAAAAATGTTACCGATTTATATAAATCAATAAAAGACCAAAATGTACTTATAAACTGTTACGGCTATGCATCAACATGAGTATACTTGAGCTAAAAAGTTCGACGTTCGAACCTTTTACTTTATGTTGTATTGATCTCAAACTTAATTTGTTATAAACTTTCTCGAGATGTTTTTAGAATGAATTTTAAACCGTTACCTATTAAAATTTAGAGGGGTTTGTAGCAAACTTGAAAGTACGGAGACTAAATTGTTATTTTTTTAACCCTACTTACTATTATAAATAAATTATAATTAGAAATTTAATAAAATATTTTAAAAGAAAAAAAAAACTATAAATACGAAGTTAAGAGTTGGACATTTTGGTCATACGTGGAAGTTTGGGAGATGTTGACGTTGACCATTCCAAACGAACAATGAAACGAAGAAGAAGAACCGTTAATTTCTTTTTTTCTTTCTGTTTTCATCCATGTCCAAATACCTTCGATTCTCCCCATTTCCTTTCAAATCATCGCTAAACCCTTTTTCCCCCCCAATTTTCCTTCTCCCCAAACAGAATCATTCCCCCATTTCTCTTGTAATCGCATCAAGCGATCGAATCGATCGCTTGGTGTTCCATTTTCCCCCTTTTCCGATTTGTTCTTCTTTTTTTGTTCGATTGGATTAGATTGATTTCTTATTCCCGTAAGAGCGATGTCTAATCTGCAATCGAATTTCAATCAGAAGATCGATTATGTATTCAAGGTCGTGTTGATTGGGGATTCTGCGGTGGGGAAGTCGCAACTTCTTTCTCGTTTTTCTAGGAATATGTTCAGTTTGGATTCGAAGGCTACGATTGGGGTTGAGTTTCAGACAAAGACGCTCGTCATTGACAAGAAAGCTATCAAGGCGCAAATATGGGATACTGCTGGACAGGAGAGGTAAAAATCCGCCATGTTTCTTAGGAGTTTTATTTTTGCTTTTCTCAACAATGGTGGATTAGAATTTTGCTATGCATTGAACTAGGTTTTCCAGAATTTCAATGCTTAAGATTGATGTTAGCATGAAAAATTTATCTCAACGATGTGTTAGTTCATTGTAAATCTTGAACAGAATGCACCTAATTGTAGTTTTCCTTTATGTTTTATGAAGGTTTTTCTTATTGTTGGTTTTCAGTTTGTTCATGTTGATGGTTCATCTATGTATGTAATTTTACATCAACTTGTGAAGAATTTCCTGAATGTAGAAACTGCACTAATCTTTGATGGTTCATCTATGTATGTAATTTTACATCAACTTGTGAAGAATTTCCTGAATGTAGAAACTGCACTAATCTTTGATGGTTCATCTATGTATGTAATTTCAGTATGTTCATGTTGATGGTTCATCTATGTATGTAATTTTACATCAACTTGTGAAGAATTTCCTGAATGTATGTTCATGTTGATGGTTCATCTATGTATGTAATTTTACATCAACTTGTGAAGAATTTCCTGAATGTAGAAACTGCACTAATCTTTGATGGTGTATGTAATTTTACATCAACTTGTGAAGAATTTCCTGAATGTAGAAACTGCACTAATCTTTGATGGTTCATCTATGTATGTAATTTCAGTATGTTCATGTTGATGGTTCATCTATGTATGTAATTTTGCATAACCTTTTCTTATGTCCTGTGTAACAAGCAGAACTGATTATGTCTTTTTTTCTGAACTTTGTAAACAGTATGTTTGTAACTTTTTGTTTCATCTCTTGCTGTTTCAGTTTACTTTTCCATTTTCACCTCCCCTGCTACTTATTGGAACAATGGGGTTTTACATTGATTGGAACAATGGGGTTTTACATTGATTCGGTTGATATGGATATATATATATATATTGTCACTGAATCATAAACACTATGCACCCGACATGTAACACAATCTGCATCCAATTCAGATTCACCTTCATTCTCATAAAGAAATCCTCCTTTATAACCGTACTATCGCATAGCTTTGAGTCTACCATTGTGAGATCCCACATTGGTTGGGGAGGTGAATGGAGCATTCTTTATAAGAGTGTAGGAACCTCTTCGTAGTAGATGCGTTTTAAAAACCTTGAGAAGAAGCCCAAAGAGGATAATATCTGCTAGCGGCGGGTTTGAGCTGTTACAACCATCTTGTGGGCAGGGACAGAGACAGGGACTAAAACGGTCTTAAGGACCTTATAAATTTATTATCACTTGGTTAAGCACAAGTTGCTTTATCATCATGTTCAATCCCTTGGGTGGGGGTTCATAATGTCAATGTTTGACTCAGGGATGTTAGAACCAATCAGTGTATTGTGAATTGAATTAGAGAATTGTCACTGGGTCCTGTTATGCTGTCCTATGGTGATGTGATTATAGTTTGGCAGATTTCCTGTTTAACATGATGTTTGAAGCCTGTTAACATAACTTGAGTGCTGATGGTTGACATTAGCTCTCAACTTTGGAAAGTGTAAACGAAAACACATTTCGGAGTTCATAAGGAGTATTTTTTTAGTATGAATAGATGCTAAGAGCAATCAAGTCGTGATATTATTTTGGAATGTATATAGCAGATATTGTCCTCTTTGAACTTTTCCTTTCGGACTCCCTCTCAAGGTTTTTAAAACGCGTCTGCTAGGGAGAGGTTTCTACACCCTTATAAAGAAGACTTCGTTCTCCTTCCCAACCGATGTGAGATCTCACATATACCATGAGCATGCTTCGTTTTCCTTCTTTTTCTCTTATTAGTGATGGTTTTCAGGTATCGTGCAGTGACAAGTGCATACTACAGAGGTGCTGTGGGGGCAATGCTGGTCTACGACATGACAAAGCGTCAGTCGTTCGATCATATAACTAGATGGTTAGATGAACTGCGTGGGCATGCAGACAAGAACATCGTTATCATGCTTATAGGGAACAAGTCTGATCTAGATTCTCTTCGTCTTGTGCCCACAGAAGATGCTAAAGAGTTTGCTCAAATGGAGAGCCTGTTTTTCATGGAAACATCAGCTCTGGAGGCAACTAACGTAGAGGCAGCATTCAATACCATACTGACAGAAATTTACCGAGTGGTTAGCAGGAAGACACTGATTGCAAATGAGGATACTGATACCGACGGAAGCGCATCACTTCTCAAAGGAGTCAAAATTGTTGTCCCTGGACAAGAGCCTCAGCCTGCAACCGCTGCTGGCTGTTGCAGGAGTTGACATGAATTATGTTTCTCACAACATTTTCACATGAATTTCTGCTTTTTTTTTTTACAGCCCTCAACAGAGCAGAAGAAGAAAAAGGGGGAAGCAAGTGATTGATCTGATCTCTATTTAATCTGTAATTTTGGTCTTTCAGGAGACTAAAGGTAAATAGTTCCTCTGCTTCAAGCTTTTTGTTACCTACATAATATTCATTTTGGTTGAGCAAAAAGCTTCATATTGTCACCTTCAACATAAACATGGGAGATTAATGAATCTCAGTAAGGGTAATACTAAAGTAACTGAGTTTTTCTTTTTCATCTCTCTCTGTCTCTCTTCTCTCTCTACACAAGGGAAATGAGTTCTGAAAAATATGCTATTTGTGTAAAACAAAAAGTTGGAGCCTTGGATAGATTTTAATTCTATGTTACTTAACCCTATTAGTTAGGAGTGCAAGTGATACGAAATCACTATAAGGGAAGTAAGATTCGGGTTACTTTGTTGATCGAATACCAGAAGGCAATTTGAATCACTCTATAAGCAAGATCGATCATGTCTAGCTTAAATGATTCTAAACATGCCATCTAAGCCACGTAGAATTGCAAAGAAACTTAGCCCTAATGATAAAAAAATCACTCAACGGGAAAGTTTAAAAACGAATACCTTGTTGATCATAATTTTACAAGCAAGATTGATCATGTCAAGCTTCTAAACATGCAACCTAAACTACATAGAATTGCAACATCTTGTGATAATTTGAACAACATTTTCTTCACATCTTTTTTGAAGTTTATACGTGATTGATGTCTTTGTTCATATCAGCAAGGATAGATTAAATCACGAAGTTTTGTCCATATTATCGTAACACATTGTTAGTATTGTAAACTTGAAGTGAGACCTTATTGAAGAAACTGACGAACAGGCCATTGATCATGCATTGTTACATTGAAGCACCAAATGGATCAAAAAGTAACGTAGGAACAAGCAAGAGAGGCTTGGCCATTCCTAAAGTCAAGCCTTGTCCTGGTTGCATATCAACCTTAGCTTCCTCTTCCCCACCTCCTTCTCCAACCACCTTCCAATCAAAACACTGAACCAGGGCCGCTATCGTTGTGTTTATCATGCTTAACGCCAATGTCGCACCAGGGCACGCTCTCCTTCCACCCCCGAACGGGATGAAGTCAAAACTTTGCCCTGTATTGGTCTCAATTCGTTCTTGTTTTGACGATGGAGCTAAGAACCTCTCGGGACGAAACTTGTTAGGTTCACTCCACACTTGAGGGTCTCTCATAATAGCAAAGAGATTGACCGCGACACTTGTTTTTTGTGGCACGTCGTAGCCTCCGATTTTGCAACTTTGACGACATTCTCTTATTGTGACTGGTCCTGATGGGTAGAGCCTCAAAGTTTCCTTCACAACAGCTTGCAAATAAGGGAGTTTAGGAATGTCTTCTTCTTCCACAAGCCTTCTTGATTCTCCAACCACTGATTCTATCTCCTTTCTTACCCTTTTCAGCACTTCAGGATGGCTGATTAGTTCAGCCATTGCCCATTCCATGGCTACTGATGAAGTATCAGTGCCAGCAATGAACAGATCCTGAATGAACCCATTAAATACTTTTAAACGTCAGTAACCAAATAAACACAAAGTTAATAATTAAGAACGACTAGCTGTCTTGAATAACCGTAAATGAACTCCTTCCCGATCTATCAATCACGACCCTTCACAATGGTATGGTATGATATTGTTCACTTTGAGCATGAGCTCTCATAGCTTTGTTTTCGGCTTCTCCTGAGACCTATGGAGCCCTCGAACAGCCTCCCATTACTCGAGGCTCGACTCCTTTTTAGGAGTTCTCGAACAAAATACACCCTTTGTTCGACACTTGAGTCACTTTTGACTACACCTTCGAGACTCACAACTTCTTTGTTCAACATTTGAGGATTCTATTGACATGACTAAGTTAAGGGCATGACTTTGATACCATGTTTGGAATCACGGATCTCCACGAAAGTATGATATTATCCACCTTGAGCAAAAGCTCTCGTGACTTTGCTTAGGGCTTCCTCTGAGACCTATGGAGCCCTCGAACAGCCTCCCATTACTCGAGACTCGACTCCTTCTCTGGATTCTTCGAACAAAGTACACCCTTTGTTCGACACTTGAGTCACGTATGGAGTCCTTGAACAGCCTCCCCTTACTCGAGGCTCGACACCTTCTTTGGAGTCCTCGAACAAAGTACACCTTTTGTTCGACACCTAAGTCACTTTTGACTACATTTTCGAGACTCTCAACTTCTATGTTCGACACTTGAGGATTCTATTGACATGACTAAGTTAAGAGCATGATTCTAATACCAGGTTTGGAATCACACGGATGTCCACAATGGTACAATATTATCCACCTTGAGCATAAGCTTTCATGGTTTTGCTTCGAGCTTCCTCAAAATCTCTCATACCAATGGAGATGTATTCTTTACTTATAAACTCATGATCATTTCCTAAATTAACCAATGCAGAACTTCCTCCCAACTATCCTCAACAGTTAGAACATTACGTTCTCGACCAAACGTGAAAGAAGAGACATAATAATGGCTTACCCAAATGAATGCTTTGATATGGGTTCTTGTGAGGTTAATAGCAGCAGCATGATCTTGTTGAATATCCAAGAGAATATCCATAAAATCCTTAGGTTCATTACTCTCCATCTTGCCTTTAAGTTCATGTTCCTTCAAGATCTTCTCCATTAGTTCATCACAACTTCTGCCAACATCAAGAGCCCTCTTCCCATAGACCAAGAAACCCAAGTTCTTGAATGGCCCCAATACATCTCCAAAGCATATCTTTGTTATTACTTCCATTGCTTCCTTCACTAAATATCGTATTCTTTCGGCCTCGTTCTTTTCTCCCGAGCATGTTGTGTTCATTAACATCCTACAAATTTTGTAACATTTTAGTCCTTATATTTTACATATATGATTAGAGATCGAAAAAACATCAATTCCAGTCTATTAATTGAACTTGAGAGACCCAATAAAACTAGTAATATTATTATGAAAATATTTAATTCAAAAGACGGAAGCAATTAAAATGAACCTATCATACCAAAGATCGATTAATTAATTAATTTTAAATTTAATGACACCTTCCGTACTAAATATTTAGTAGCGAGGACAATTTTATTTATTTTATTTTTAAAATACACACAAAACTATTTTTCTAATGCAATTCCCAAATGTAATCAAATTCAACCAAAATTTCAATTTTTTAAAAAAAAGAAATGCTATTTCTATGAGAAAAAACAATAAAATATTATATATATATATATCGTGGACTTAATTTTGTATTTAATAATTTTTTAAAAAAGTTATAAGCTAAAATTTAATTCAAATTGAAATTCAAGATTTATTAGACATTTATAAGAGAAATTATTGTGATTTATGAGGCATAAATTTTTAATTTTATATTTAATATTTAGTATGTTAATCAAATTTTAAAAAATATATTTGAATACACAAAATTATTTTAATTTTTTTTAAGAGACATTTGAAAAACTTTTCGACCAAATAAATATATACGAATTTAATATATATATATATTTATTACCAAAACTGCCCCCCTAACAAACTTCCGTACATCAGTATTCCATCCCCTGTTACCTGCAAGTCGTATTGTTGGTTAATCTCATAAGCTCTCCGCCGATATCCACAGTGTCCTTCAGCCGGGAATGGCCAGCGATTCTCGACAGAAACCGCCGGATTTCTTCCCGGCGGACGTTCTGCGACCGCTCCAGTTGCCGGGGGCTGAGAAGCTCCGTCACGCAGACCTTTTTCATGAACCTCCAGTAATCGCCGTACGGTGCCAAAACAAACCCTAATTTTCCGTAGTACAGTTTATCTGCGAAGGCCAGAGTCGGACGGGAGGCGAAAAGGACGTCGTGCGTCTTGAAGATTTCGGCGGCGATCGGCGCCGATGAGACGACGAGGCAGCGGGAGGCACCGAGGCGGAGATAGAGGATCGGGCCGTACCGATCGGAGAGACGGCGGAAGGAGCTGTAAAGCGCCGGAGAGAGGAGGTGGAGGTGGCCGATAAGCGGCAGCGACGGAGGACTAGGAGGAAGGCGGAGGGCGGTGGATATGGCGGCGGTTCTGGATAGAATTGATCGGAGTAAGTAAACGGAGAGGAAAAAGAGGGTGGAGAGGAGGATTAAGGACTCGATTTCAGCCATGGTTTGATTGATTAACAAAAATACACAAAATATATATATATTAATATTAAGAATATTCATATTAACTCGAGAACCTAGTTAACCCAACCCCAACCAAAACCTAGTTAACCCAACCCAACTATAAAGGTTGAGTTAGGTTAGTTTTTATTTTTTTGAGTAAATTTTTTAAAAATTGAAAAAATTCGAGTTCGATGTCTTTATTCAATCAACCTGGTCAACTCGAAAATAGGGTTAGGACTCAACTCAATTAAAAATATTTAACTTTTGAATGTTTGGTATGGAAGATTTATGAGATTTTATTTATTACTGTACATGTATTATAAATAAGTATAATTTTTTTAATAACAGTTTGATTTATAGACTGACAATATGATATGATATCGTTCTCGACAACGTAAAATTATCTGCATCGTAAAAGGAGCATTACTAAACTCAACGATCAAAATATTTATCCATATTTTTTAGATTAACGATTCAAATTTGTAGGCTCTTATAAATAATAATTATAAAATTAATAGACACATTATGATTTGGCCCTCTATTTTACTAATTAATCACAATCTAAGTGGGCCTTTTTCCATATTTTCTATATTTGTTGACACGTCATTTATTAATAAATTTTGGAAGTACGTATTAACAAGTATTAGGGTTGTCCTATTTTTTTTTTTTTTTTTTATATATAACTATTAAATGTATTATTTTAGTACCCTAGTTGTTTAATTTTGATAATTTAAAATTTTAAAATATTTAATTGACTAAATTAATAAAGAATAGGGTTGTTGAAAAATACGGAAAGCATTTAAAATGTTTAATAATATTCAAGTATTTCAAAAATAGTTTTAGACTTTATAAAATTTCATTAATACCTTTCAATTTTTTTTTTTTAAAGTTTGAAAAAAATACTGTTACGGTTAAAAATGATATGTTTGCCCCGAAATGACATAGCCTTTCGTTGGGCCTTTCGATGCAATCAAATAGAAAGCACCAAGAGAACCATATTCTAGGAGCCCAAACTATGTGATTGAGTAAATCATTCTCTATCACGCGGGTCGAGGACTCCTTCTCCTTTCCCTTCTTCAAACTTCGATTCGCATTGTTCATAGAGAAATCTCTGATTAACAATAGAACGGTTAGAGGGGATTATACTTTGTTCGAGGAGAGATGTTAGATGAAAGTCCCACGTCAGCTAATTTAGGGAATGATCATGAGTTTATAATTAAAGAATACTATTGTGGAGAGTTGTGTTCATCTAACATGGTATCAGAGTCATACTCTAAACTTAATCATGTCAATAGGATTCTCAAATGTCGAAGAAAGGACTCCAAAAGAAAAAGGAGTCGAGACTCCTCGAAGGCATAGTAAAAATTGGCGAAGACTCTGAAAGAAAAATGATGAAAGTCGAGACAGTGGCTTACTGTTTATGTGCTCAAAGTAGACAAGAGTCGTGTTCATTTAATAAGAACAAGATCCATTTTGTATTATATATATAAGTCATCGTAGTCGTAGTAATTTTCAATCCATGACCTATGACGAGGTTTGAACTGACTAATATCGATGTATAAATAATATGTTATAATATGTTTTCTCGATATTAGAAGTTCAAATCTCGAGCGTGGAAGCGAAGAAGAGGGACACAAAGAAGAGGATTGGCCATGGGCAAAGTGAAGGCGGCTCCAATCTCCATGTCCACTTTACTTCCACCAATGATCTTCCAATCAAAGCACTGAACCATGGCCGCAGTCACCGTGCTAATGAAACTGAACGCAAGGGTCGAGCCAGGGCACCCCCGTCGGCCCCCACCGAACGGGACGAACCCTGAACCCTGCTGCCCCTTAATCTCGTACCGCACTTCTCCGGTGAACCTTTCCGGCTCGAATTCGTTCGGATTTTCCCAGATTTTTGGGTCCCGCATTATGTGGAACAGATTGACTGCCACCATTGTGTTCTTGGGGACATGGAAGCCGTCGATTGTGCAGTCTTCCTGACTGGCTCGCATCGCTATTGGGACGGCGGGGTAGAGGCGGAGAGCCTCTTTCACGACGGCTTGTAAGTAGGGGAGATTTGGGACGTCGTCTTCTCCGACCAGTCTGGTGGTTCCGACCACGGCGTTTATTTCGTTCCTGAGTTTGTTGAATACTTCGGGATGGTTTAGAAGCTCCGCCATTGTCCACTGCGATACCTCGGTCGATGTTCCCGTGCCGCCCAAAAATAGATCCTGGACAAGAAAATTTTGAATAAATGACTTAAACAACGGAACCAGCCCAATTCAACCCAAAAATTGTATTGTTCGATTCATTATTTAATACGAACTGTTTGGATTCCGAATAATTGGGTTGGACCTAAAAAAAGATGTGTTCAAAGCCCTTAAACAAAATACACAATTTGTTTGACACTTGAGTCACTTAGACTGTACCTTGAGATTCTATTGGCTCGGACCATGTTAAGTGCATGACTCTTGTACTATTTGAGAAACCACGGACCTTCACAATAGTATGATATTGTCTACTCTGAGGATAAACTCTCTTAGTTTTTCTTTTCGAGATTGTATTCCTTACTTAAAATCTCATGATCGTTCCCGAGACTACTCCTCTAAGTAATTTTCAACGTCATAAGATAAATTTTTTTAAAAAAGGGTAAAAGTGTAATTAAGAAGACTTACCAGCAAGAAAGCCTTGATATTGGTTCTTGTGATCTTGAACTCGGCGTTATGATCTTGATAAACCTTCAACAAAATGTCCATTAGATCCCTATCTTCCCTGTCCAAACCCTCTTTCTTTGCTCTCTCTTCATGTTGCCTTAATATGTTCTCCAATATTTGGTCATACCTCATTGTCACATCTTTCGCATGTTTCCCAAACATCCAAAACGCTATTCGCTCTAACGGCCATCCAAACACATCTCCAAACGCTACTTTCGTAGCCATCTCGAACGTTTCTTTTACTAAAATTCTTATCTTTTCTGCTTCATCACTATCATCCCCCGAACACCTTGTACTCATCACCAACCTATTCATACAATTATCAATATAATTTTAAAATAAATATATTTCTTTCAATTAAAAATAGTTTTATTCAAATCTAAATAATTTATTTTTTATTTTAAATTTTAAGTAATTTTTGTATTTTTGTTGGTAATTCCTCTAATTTATGTTTTTATTTTATTTGTAAAATTTCAGATTAAAATATGAAAATTTCGTTGTCACAAATATATATTTTTTATTGTTTGACATGTTTCAAATCATATCATAAAGACTTGTCAATAAAAAACTTTAAAATTATTTACTAGTTGATTCCATCTTATTTATTTAATTTATTTATTTATTACTCTAATTTTATTTTATTAAAAATTGAAGAAAAATATTTAATTTGGTTGGTGTTGTGTACCAATCATTCATCATATTTTATAATATAATCCATTCAAATTTTCAACTCAATTCTTTATTTTTACTTGAATATATATATATATATATACGCTTAAATTTTTACAAATTAAATATATATATTTATGGATTAAATTTGAATATAATATATATATTTATTTCTATAGATAGTTTAAATTTTTAAAATTTTCACAAATCGAATATATATATATATATATATTTAATTTCTATATGTTTAAAATTTCTATATATCTTTTAATTTCTATATATTTTAATTTTTGTGAAAATTTAAAGTTTTAAACATCTGTAGTGTATATATATATATTGTAAATTTTACCTGCAAGTGCTATTGTTGGTGAGTTTGACGAGCTCCGCCCCCAAATCCACGGCCTCGTTGTTCTCGCCGCAGTCCGCCAATTTCTTCAAGAATTTCAACATTTCTTCTCTCCGTACGGCGCGTGATCTCTCAACTTGCCTTTGCGACAAAAGCTCTGTCATCGTCAGTTTCTTCATGAATCTCCAGTAATCGCCGTACTCCGCAGCGAAGAATCCGGCCTTCGCGTACGGCAGTTCGTCGCCGAACGCGAATTTCGGCCGCGACGAGAAAGTAACATCCTGTGTCTTGTAGATCTCGGTCGCGTACGACGCCGATGAAACGACGACGCATCGGACGCTGCCGAGTCGGAGGAAGAGAAGATCGCCGTACCTAGCGGCGAGATTGTGGAACGATTTGCAAACGGACGGTGAAAAGTGGTGGAGGTGGCCGATTAGCGGCAGCGCCGGCGGACTCGGCGGCGTGCGGCCATTGGAAGGTCTGTGAAGGAGATAGTGAAGGAGAATGATGAAGAGGAAGGAGAGAGCAATGTAGAAAATGTAAGAGGTTGAATCCGCCATTTTCGCCTCACGCAGGTCCTGCAAGTTCTTGCTTGCAACCACGTCTTATATTAAAATATAAAATTGAATATTAATTTTAGAATTAAAATATTAATTAGCCTATCACGTTCGAAGTTTTAAAATTAAGATTAAATTAATAAAAAAAATTACTCTTTAAAATTAATAGTGTTTCAGTTTTGCTTAAAAACACTATTAAATTTTTAAAAATTTTATTAATAACCTTAAATTTTTTTAAAAAAATTAAAAATTTATGAAATATAAAAAAACTTTACTGTTGCCATTCTCTATTATTTTCAAATCAAACGTTGGATGGATAATACATAAATTATTAATCTAAATATGAAAATTAAATTCTCTATTTTTAAAATGGTCGGGTTGACATAACAAAAAAAAAATGTCGCTCTGGACTCAACCCAATTTTTATAGTTTAGGCTAAGCTTGGATAGTCTAGATTGATTGAGTTCCCGAGTCATTTGAACACCTTTATCAAATGATTGACATATTACTTAGATGTTATTTATTCCATGGATCCCAATTGATCTGTCCCTATCAACAAATTTCTTTTTTCTTTTTTTCTTTATATATTAATAAATGACAAAAAATTTAGGAATAAATCTACCATTTTTAAAATTTTGACTAATAAAATCATCCAAAAAAATCATGGACCGTTTGATATAACAAATAGGAAGGGGGAAGTAGAGGATTAGATTTCATTTAACATTTAAAAAA